TAAATCATTGCATGCACCCATCTAAAAACAAAATATATAGTATTAACAGACCAAAGCAATTATGATATTTGTATTCATTAATTCACTAGAGAGGAAGGGTGGTCCAGTGGTAAGGGCATTAGGCTAGGTCTTGGGAAAACAAGGGTCACCTCCCTACTCTGCCACAGACTTTCTATATGATCTTGGGCAAGTTAATCTCTGTGAAATGGGGATAAACAGAACTTCCTGACCTCACAGGGGTTTTGTGAGGATAAATCAATTAAAGCTTGTGAGGTGATCAGATACTGTGGTGCTGGGAGTCACATAAATACCATAGATAGTATATAAATACTTGTACTTATGTTAATACATAATTGTGTGTGTATGTGTGTGTGTGCAAGACTGTGTGTGTATTACATGCATTCACTCATGTTCACACACTCAATTATGCATTAATAACATACACTTGCACAATCATTTAGGCCCTCTAGTATATTCAAATACAGGCACACACAAGTTCACATGATCACACCTGCTTATGCACACACAGACTCCCATGCTCATGCGCGCGCGCACAAACACACACACACACAGAGTGGTATTTTCAAAAAGGGCTCAGCATTGGCCTAACTTGTGCCTCCATTGAAGCCAATGGGATTACTCACATGAGTAAAGTCACCTGCCTGCGTATGGATTTGCAAGATCCGTGGCCATGAGCTTCAGTGGGACTCTGGATAGGCATAAGAGTCTGCCTGTGTGGATCAGAATGAAGGATCAGGATCTAAATTTGTAAATTACTTATAGTGAAAATTCAGAATGAAGAAAAGGGGGCTATCAAAGATGTTTCTATGCAACAAAAAATATTAATCCCCCATTAATTTCACTTCCCTGTCCTGTTACATTTCTAAGGTCCTAACTTTAGGCCTTTTGTCTCAAAACTGGACATCAGCAGGTCAAAAGGGGGTAGCTAGTTTTGAGAAATATTTCCTCTTCAGCAAAGATGCGTGCTGTGCTGCCCAAGGCTAGTGAGTCACAATGTCTAAGCAGTGTGGCATCTATCCCATCCCCCACTCCTTTTTATATTTGTATAGCCATAATTGCAGTTAAATTAGAGAATAATAAGGGGCAAATTTAGTCAGATGGAAATAAATTTGAAGGAGTTTTATTTTATTTTGATTTAAAAAAAAAATCCTGAAGCCACCGTTTTTGTTTTGGTCAAAATTCTCCTATATTTTCCTTGTACCATGAATTGTGAACTATATCACGAAATGGGTAAAACTTCTTGAAGAAAATGGTGGTGTTAACCCAAAGGGAAAAATCATTAATGTTGTTGTATTCCATTTTAAATATAGAAGTTTTTTTTCATATTTTATTTTTTTAGCACTGGGAGATGGAGGAAGGACAGGAGAGCTGCAAAGGACTCAATGTCCCTTCAAGTCAAAACATCTATTTTAAAAATACTCTTTTTAAAAAAAGAAAAAAAAAGCCTTCTCTCCTGAATTCATTTTTCTAAATAACAGATACGAGATGTTGGTTTTTTTTCTTCCCTCAGCAAAGAGGACCCCCTCGGCGTATTTTTCTTTTCAAATGTGAAATGAGGTGGAAAATCCTCATTTCACGACAGGAAGGACAAATATTGACACAAAGTTAATATTTGTCAGTAGCCCTGGAAGCAACCTGAGTGTTTAAAAAAATAAATAAATAAAATAAGCAACGGGATTCGATGGTTTGTGAATCTGCAGAAGGGGAATCTGCTGCCTGAGTATAAAGTAAATAGATAGTCAACGCAAGCACACACCCCAATTTCTCTGCATTTCACACATGCGCACAAACACATGTGTCCACTGTCCCTCTCTCACACACAGACGTCTCTCTATATATCAGACACACACACACACACACACACTTCTCTCTCTCACATACACACACACACACACACACACACTTTATCTAATATCAGCCATTTAAAAGGAGGGCTTCTGGAATTTATTACTGTTATTGTTCATCTCCAATGTAAATAGCACGTCAGTTCAATATTCAGTGGTCACTCAGTATTTATTAAGTCCTGTCCACTCTGGCCTTTTTTAGAGGAAAGCCCCAGGGCGGATTAGCTGCTGCCCTTGACACGCTGTGTCACTTATCTATTCGCATTGATTATGAGAGTCAGCTGTGACCAGGCCTCACTTTTCCCTTCTCCTTTCAGCCCCCTTTTACAAGCACCCCTGCTTGGATTTTCATGAGGAAATAATCAGATTAGGCCCTCAGCAGCGAGTTCATATGGAGTTCTCTTTCTCCAATGTGCTACTAACTGAATAAACGTGTTTTGTGGTAAATTGTAAATGACATTATGATTACCAAGGCCAGCATGGGTTTCATTTAAAAGTGATCGAAATTGCAGGCCACAGCAATTGTGACTGGCAGATAAGGCCATTTGGAAGAAAGGGAGGGAGGGTGTTTGGGGGGGGGGCAACTGAGACGCCATAGAGCAGCTCGCAAAGGAAAGGAGCAGAGCAAAGGGAAAGTCCTGGGGATGACAAAATACAAGCAAGGTCTATTTGCAGACAAGTGAAATGTCACCAGGGAGGAGGGGGATGACTCGGCTGTTTCCAGGAGAGCGAATGATGAGATCTGTCAGGATTTATGGGTTGCCCGCTGTACAGTGCATGTTCCTTGTTCTCTGGGATTAAAAAAAATAATAATCTTTTTTGTGCAGCTCTTCTATTTCTCCCGTCTACATGAAGCTGCTGTTTGTTCTCCCCCTCTCCCCACATAGTATTGGTAAAGTGCCTGTGCTGGTGACCCTGGAAAAGAAGATGGTAGATGGATATCTAAAAATAGCTGCTCCCATGCAGAGGGCCTGGTTCTAATCTCACTTGCACCTTGTCTCCCGACCACATTCTATCAAGGCTGATATCTGTGTAATTTCATCATTTTCCTCTATGGCGTGCACCGCGAGGGCCCAGTCCGGAAAACACTCCTGCGTCTGAGTAACTGTACCTGAGTCATGTCCCGTTGACTTATGTAAGGGTTTGCAGCATCAGGGCCTAAAGCAGCCCACTAAACGAATCAAGGGTGGCTTCTACATGAAGATATATGGTAATCCCACTTCATGATATCCTGGGGCCGGGAGTTCTGGAGTGCTACTGTTCGCACTCCAAAGTGCCATTTCCTTTTCTTCATTTGACTATGTGGCCTGGCGGCAGGTGTCGCCTCATTCTCAGACTGTGGTGGAAGGCGAAGAGGACCACTCTATTGGTTTCATTGTCCCATTCTTTGTATACTTTAATGAAGATCTTATTTAAGGCTAAATTGCCCCAGTCTTTTCAGCCTCTTCTTTTATGCCTCTAACAATCTTTTTTTCTTAATAGTATCTTATTTCCCCCCCAACTTTGTACTGTTGCTGAGAAGCCAGGAAGCTGAACACGGTGGGCTAGATTGTAGCTCAGACTGCACATTCACACAGGGGCATCCAGGGGAAGAAGACTCCCACCTTTATGCCCAGTGCAGGGTTACAGGGTTGGATCCAGGCGTATTTCAGTAAGGGTCACTGCATCCCCCATCTCCAGAGCACGTGGCAACATGCACAGCTACCTCCTGCAAGAGCAGGGAGGAAGAGAGTAATAATTTACGGCAGTACCAAATTACTACCTCCCTGTAGCAAAAGGGGAACAGGAACCACAGTTCCTTCCCTCGGACGCTCCTGGAATTGCACAGCAATGTACAGCCCCTTACTATGGACTATGTTTGTGACACAATCCACCTCAGTTGAGAGGATTGCTGGGAAGGGGAGAGGAGAAAGCAAGGTGGTAATTCATGTCTGTCAAGGCTACTTCCCCACTCTGAACTTTAGGGTACAGATGTGGGGACCTGCATGAAAACTTCTATGCTTAACTACCTGCTTAGATCTGGTCTGCTGCCACCACTCCCAATGTGCTAATTCCCTTCCCTGGGTAGCCTTGAGAGACTCTTCACCAATTCCCTGTTGAATACAGATCCAAACCCCTTGGATCTTAAAACAAGGAGAAATTAACCATCCCCCCTCCTTTCTCCCACCAACTCCTGGTGGAGAAAGATCCAACCCCCTTGGATCTAAAAACAAGGAAAAATCAATCAGGTTCTTAAAAAGAAGGCTTTTAATTAAAGAAAAAGGTAAAAATCATCTCTGTAAAATCAGGATGGGAAATAACTTTACAGGGTAATCAAACTTAAAGAGCCCAGAGGAATCCCCCTCTAGCCTTAGGTTCAAAGTTACAGCAAACAGAGGTAAACACCCTAGTAAAAGGTACATTTACAAGTTGAGAAAACAAAGATAAAACTAACATGCCTTGCCTGGCTGTTTACTTACAAGTTTGAAATATGAGAGACTTGTTCAGAAAGATTTGGAGAGCCTGGATTGATGTCTGGTCCCTCTTAGTCCCAAGAAAGAACAACCCCCAAAACAAAGAGCACAAACAAAAGCCTTCCCTCCCCCCCACCAAGATTTGAAAGTATCTTGTCCCCTTATTGGTCCTTTGGGTCAGGTGTCAGCCAGGTTACCTGAGCTTCTTAACCCTTTACAGGTAAAAGGACTGTGGAGTCTCTGGCCAGGAGGGATTTTATAGTATTGTACACAGGAGGGCTGTTACCCTTCCCTTTATAGTTATGACAATGTCAAACATTTTTTATTATTATATTGAGATATACTTATCTCATAGAGCTGGAAGGGACCTTGAAAGGTCATCAAGTCCAGTCCGCTGCCTTCCCAGCAGGACCAAGTACCATCACTGACATCCCTAAATGGCCCCCTCAAGAATTGAACTCACAACCCTAGGTTTAGCAGGCCAATGCTCAAACCACTGAGCTATCCCTCCCCTGCTGCCCTGCTATACGTTTAGAACCAGGACATCTGAGAGAAACAGCTCCTTGCATCATCACACGTACCAGCATCACACAGAAAGCTGTACCATGCAAATAAGCAGGTACAGCACGATGTGTAGAAATGGCAGATCAGCCCATCCCTTTGTTTATTTGTTGTTAAACAGGCATTTACAGAGAAGACACAAAGTGCATCTACAAGCCCTCTACGCAAGGCTACTTCTGCAAAGACACAGACCATGCACTCGTGATCCTAGAAAGCTTGGACACTGAAGCAGACGGAAGGACGTCATCTCCAGTGGTATCGGTGACTGGCAGTTTTGTGGAGGCTTTCAGTAGTGGAGTTTCACGTGTATCTTGCTGTCCTTCAGAACATCCACCAGCTTTCTATTCGGTCTTGCCATCCAACAAGCTGACTAAGGTTTGCTTCACTGGTCTAACGCCTCCGAGCTTAAGACTCCGCCTCATCAGTGGTCAAAATTCTACCAGACTTCTCATAGCCATCTTCTACGATGAACCCCGTAGCCTTCACGTTTTTATGAACGGGAATTACATTCCACTAGCCTCATCTTCTTCCAGCGCTTTCTTAACTAATGCCATGGCAGGCGCCCACTCCTTCAGCTTTGAGAACAACCTTCTCTACATCCTCCTTCATGGCGATGACCCCATAGAAATATACACCAGCTTTTCCCTTCACGCTGCTTTTACCATTGCTGAGACCATTGGAGAGGAGGGTCAGAGAAGGGTGGTCCATCGCCTGGCTGATTTCTTGCAGATTGGACGGGACTATGTCAGAATAGTTCAGAGTGCGTCAGGGAGCGAGAGCACGTTAAAGGTTATCTCAGACAATGTTGGCAAGAGGACGCGTGAGTGCCCTCCCATGACACCTTGTACAGCCTTTTCTAGCAGGGCTGGCTGGGAGAAAACTCGGACAGGAGCAGCAAGCGTTTGGGTTCTGCAGTCATCTCATGCGGCTACCCCATTGAGAGTGCTGATCATTGAAATTGGAGAGCCACCAGGCCTTTTCAGAAATAAGCTTGTTCCCTCCTTGTTGAGCGACAGGTTGAAGAGCTTGGCCAGCACTGTTATCAACGCTCAGCAGACTGGGGATCTTCAGCGAGTCCTGGAGTTACCAATTGATACTTTAATGGTGACACAGTCTGCTTTGTCATCGCCACTAGGGGGCAGTGCCGGGTAAGCGAGTGACGTGTATGTATCCTTCAAAGCTCATTTATGATTATTTATTATTGTAAGATGTTGATAGTTTAAATTAGGGTATTTAATCACTGGAACATGAGAGGTATTAAATTCTCCATCACTCAGAGGTCTTAAATCAAGACTTGATGTCTTTCTTAAAAATATGCCTAGTCCAACCAGAAGCAGTTGGGCTGGATGCAGGAGCTGCCAGGTGAAATGCTCTGGCCTGCGTTCTGCAGGAGGTCAAACTAGATGGTCATAATGGTCCCTTCTGGCCTTAAAATCTATTAAACCTATGCATGGTATTCATGTATTCACACAGTCAGGGGCGGCTCTATGCTTTTTGCCGCCCCAAGCATGGCAGTCAGGCGGCCTTCGGCGGCATGCCTGCGGGCGGTCCATGGTCACGCGGATTCAACGGCATTTCTGCGGGTGATCTGCTGGTGCCGCGGCTTCGGCGTACCCGTCGCCCGAATTGCCGCCGAAACCGCGGGACCAGCGGACTTCCCGCAGGCATGCCGCCGAAGGCCGCCTGACTGCCGCCCTCACAGTGACTGGCAGGCTGCCCCCCGCGGCTTGCCGCCCCAGGCACACGCTTGCTGCGCTGGTGCCTGGAGCCGCCCCTGCACCCAGTGCCGGAGATGGGTATGGTGTGTTATAGATGAAAAAATGACAGGTTCCTTTCCTGAAAAACTTAGAAATTTAGACCCCAATGATGCAAACACAGACACATGCTTATCTTGACTGCTATGAGTAGAATATAACCTTGGGAGGAGACCGGTTAGCTGTGTTTGCTCAGCATGGAAAGAACAGAGCCAACATAATGCAAGTCTGAAGGATACCCACTCATAAACATGATAGCTGCCATCTTGGGCAACATACTGAGGACTGAACCAGGGGTCTCCAAAGCTAAATGAGTGAGCTACTATAGCTTGAGAGGTCTTTAGCTGGGGCTGCAATAGATAGAGCCCATCTGTTACTGCCATGTGCATGCCACCCACACCACCTGTCTGCGTGTGAAGGGAGGGCAGGCCCTGCATGGCTACTAGTCCCACCTTGCCCCGCCACACCACACACACACACGCAGGCAGAGGGGAACAGAACCTTGGATGTTCTCCTGTCCAAACACTAGCCAGTGGAGCTGAGCCAGGGGCGGGAAAGGTGTAATCTGTGCCTTGTAAAGGTCTGACACAGATTATTCCCCCTGTGGAGCAGAGAAGAAATAATAACTGCATCACAGTTCCTTTGGCTGGGTGCTCCTGGGGCAGCACAGGTTGCCCATTATAATATTTCATTGAAATAACCCACCAGCAACGAAAACAAAGAGGATCTCTGAGGATGTGTATTTAAGTGTAAAACATATTTGATGATGTTACATTTCTGTATCTCCCATATTCTCTCCCCATTGTGTTTCTGTATTGTCATCCCTCACTGTGTAAGCCCTGTAGAACCTGTAGAAAGCAAGAGGGCTTTAACTAGTAGGAATCTATAAAAATGCAATAGGATTATATAGAAATTACTCTAAAAACCTATACAATTTTATACAAAATGAGATCCTTTCTATAGGTGTTTGTTTGTTACTGTTTTTTTTTTTTTAAACCAGCCTATAGATCAAGGATTTAATTCACTATTAAATTCTATAGGATGATTCACCAAATTCTACAGGGTGACTCAGAACACATATAGAAAGTATTTTCTTTTCTTTTAAAGTCTGTAAGATTTTCCTCTCAGGGTTATGTCTAAAAGCTCATTCCTGCAAACACTTACTACTGGGAGCAGTATTAACCCCCATAAGCAATCTCATTGACATCAGTGGAACTCAATAGTAAGACCCAATAACAAGGGTCTTCAGGGACAGGCCCTAATTTAGGGCCTGAGCCTACAGAGGGGGACCTGGGACACACATTCACCAGTGAGATAAACTAACACCACCAACCTTGAGGAAAGTATTTGTCCTTCACTACTTGGGTTCCTCTGTAGTGTTATTTATTACTCCCCATCAGTCTTGGGCTTTATGGCATCACTTGTGGCTTTGACACTTGTGATATAATAAGGCCCTGGCTAACCTGTAAAATTAAATCAGATATTTCCTGTTGGGACATGTAATATCCCCTCTGTCTGTCCCTCATTAGAGTCTAGACAGTACACACCAGCACAGGCAGGGATAATGGGGTTGGGATAATGAGAGATTGTGTATTTTTCCACACAAGGGGGGAAATTTTCTTCCACACCTGTGTCCTGCAGAAACAAATGAGATTCAGAGATCTCTAGGGCAGACTTAACAACCTACACCAACACATGGCCAACACCACTGGAATGCCAGACCCACAGTTCTCCCTGCTTCGCAAAGCTTTGGGCAACAGAGATTGAGACTCTTTGTTCACAGCCCACAAGGAAATGGCTAAAGGTAGCCTTGGGGACCCTAGCAGCAACAACTCTGCATAACAGTGTAAGGCTGGTAGACCCCGGTTGTCGGCATCGAAGCCGGGGATCTCTGGAGCTTAGTGCATGAGCCTCTACCGCATGAACTAAAAGCCAACTGACTCTTAGCTAAGGCTGTAGCAAACTCAGTGGTCTCAGTGTCACTAGATGGGCCAGAACCCCACACCCAGAAGGTGGGTGGGTTACAACAGCAGAACTGTTTATCATACTGCCAAGTCTTTTTAAAAATAATTTGTCTCGTTTCTTTATATGGTTTCAATTTGACTACTTTTTTTAGGGTCAATTCATTCTGCTGCTTCCTGATTCACCAAGGAGAGAGGGAGATGATAGCTAATAGCTACATGGAAGACAGAGAAAGCACAATAGTAATATACCTTATATACCAAGAGTGTGTGTGTGTGTATGTGTGCATGCGCACACACACATACACACACACACATATATAAATTATTCTGTGTTCAGAGCAGGGTTTGCATAGTGCACAATAAATAAGGCCTGGGGCCACACATTGAACAAAGTGGATAAAGCAAAATATTGCATAGCTGCTCATTCAGTGAGCAGCAACCATCCTTGGCACTGAACGAGGCAGGGGTCCTATGGAAATAATAGTATGTCGTCATGTAGTTAAAGACTGTGTCATAATGCATCTGCACACTGTGAATTAATGGCTGGATTAAGGTTGCACAGGCAAGTTTAATTCTAATATGTCTTAGCTTTTGAGTGCTTGTGTGTGTAACCGTAACATTCTTTTACTGAAATTTACTGAAATTACTATACGTTAGGGATGTAAATATTGTTTAAAAAAACAGCCGTTTAAACTATTAAAATTATATCGGTTAACCATTTAATCATTAAGACGACAGGGGTCAGGGTCTGGGGTCAGGGCTGCTGCCCATCCCTTGTGTGGGGTCGGGGTCTGCTGCCAGCACTGCGCGGCTGGGGTCAGGGTCTGCCCAGGGCCGGCTCCAGGCACCAGCCGAGGAAGCTGGTGCTTGGGGCGGCAGCTTGTAGGAGGCGGCCGTTTTTTGGGGGGGGGGTTTGGTGGTGTTCCGCTCCGGCCACCCTGTAGGGGGCGGCGGTGCGGAGGACGGGAGCACCCTGCAGCAAGCCCGGCAGGGCAGTCCTCATCCTTCCCTCCCCGCCGACCAAAGCAGCGCAGAGCCCTCCTGGCAGGCGGCGGGGCCGCGAGGCAGCGCCCCGCTGAAGCCCTGGCCGCCCTCCTTCTCTCTCTCTCCCCCCTGTGCCCTCCCCCTCCCCCCTCTAGCCGGGGCACATCTGCAGCGCAGGGAGTCCCCCTGCACCCTGGCTCCGGCCCCGCTGCAGGGTTTTTTTTTTTTTGGCTTTGCCATTCTGGCCGCCCCGTTTTTTGTTTTGTTTTTTGTTTTGCTTGGGGCGGCCAAAAAGCCAGAGCCAGCCCTGGGTCTGCCACTTGGCCCCGCATGGTGGGGATCCAGGCCAGGGGCTGCCGCTCAGCCCTGCCCACCAGGGGTCCAGGGACTGCCGCCCGGACCCACACAAAGTGCTTGCAACCCCTCCCAGCTTGGTATCTTCCACAAACTTTGTAAGTGTACTCTTTATGCCACTACCCAGATCATATCTGAAGATATTGAAAAGAACCAGACCCACGACAATCCCCTGCAGGCCCCCACTCAATATGCATGGGGTTGGCAACCTTCGGCACGCAGCCCATCAAGGAACAGGAGTACTTGTGGCACCTTAGAGACTAACAAATTTATTTGAGCATAAGCTTTCGTGGGCTACATCTCACTTCTTCGGATGCATATAATGGAACATATATTGAGGAGATATATATACACATACAGAGAGTATGAAAAGGTGGGAGTTGTCTTACCAACTCTGAGAGGCCAATTAAGTAAGAAAAAAACTTTTGAAGTGATAATCAAGATAGCCCAGTACAGACAGTTTGATAAGAAGTGTGAGAATACTTACAAGGGGAGATAGATTCAATGTTTGTAATGGCTCAGCCATTCCCAGTCCCTATTCAAGCCTAAGTTGATTGTATCTAGTTTGCATATCAATTCCAGCTCAGCAGTTTCTCGTTGGAGTCTGTTTTTGAAGCTTTTCTGTTGCAAAATAGCCACCCGCAGGTCTGTCATTGAATGACCAGACAGGTTAAAGTGTTCTCCTACTGGTTTTTGAGTGTTATGATTCCTGATGTCAGATTTGTGTCCATCAACGTAATCCGCTGGTGGACCGTGAGACATTTTGTTTACGTTGACTTTCCACAGGCATGGCCCCCCGCAGCTCCCAGTGGCCCTGGTTCGCTGTTCCCAGCAATGGGACCTGCGGGAAGCCAATGGGAGCTGCAGGAATGGTGAACCGTAGCCACTGAGAGCTGCGGGGGCCCGTGCCTGCGAACAGTCAACGTAAACAAAATGTCTTGCGGCCCGCCAGCAGATTACCCTGACTGGCTGCGTGCTGAAGGTTGCCGACCCCTGCAATATGCCCTTCCAGCTTGACTGTGAACCATTGATAACTAGTCTCTGGGTATGGTTTTCCAACCCCTTTTTCACCCACCTTCTGGTAGGTTCATC